CGATGTGGAGTGCAAGAGGAAATAATAACATATCATCTGGAAAAAAATCGTGGTGCGAAATTGACATCGCAGCCAAGGAAAGGGGATCGAAATGGACAATAGAAGATATAGGTCTAGGGGGAGTCTTTTTCTGTCCTTATATAGGAGGAATTTTGAGATGGAAAAGGGGATCCCTCAGGAAATGAGGCGCCTTTGCCGGCGGGGTATTATATACCAGGGAACAAAGACGGCGGCGGGAGATGCATGTGCGAGGCAAAGGATAGGGCAGGGTAGATAAGGAGATTCCCGTATATAGACATCAATATGCAAGGTAGAATGAAACATATCAAGAAGTGGTGAAATAGATATGGGAGCGACATACGAATAGACGATAAAATAATTGGCTAGGAACGACGTGCGAATAGAAGATGAAATAATTGGCTATCGTCATATAAAGAATACGTGTATGGGGTGAAGTTAGCATCGGCAGTGCGTAATAGGAAATAGAAATAGACGGTAGAAGTTAAAAGGGGGAGTACCCTGTTAGGGAATGCTTTGGAAATAAAAAGAACACCCTCCAAGATTGCACGTAAATTCCTCAACTACGTGTTAGTAATGGATAAATAAAGACGGTTATGGGCGAAACCATCGACAAATTTTCACGAAAATATATATTCATTTCGTTCGCTCCAACAATTTACCGGGTGGCTTTCATAATTAAATATATCGGAATCAAACAATATGTCTTTATGCAACATATTATGGCAAAATAAGCAAAAAAAGAAAAATATAGAATTCCTTAGAAAAATCTACCGTTAAATATAATAAAGGTTAATCACATTAATAACCCGATCAATTCGCGTGTAACGAACAACACATGTCATATTCTAAGAAAGAAATATAACCTTTATTAATCAATTTGCATACCATCACATTTAGAAATTAACCAAATCATTTATGTAATATTCGGGAACCATCCGAAACGTATTAATCAATAAAATAAACAAAGAATAACCGGAAGCGGTAAAATTAATATTAGAATCACATAAATATACAAAACGAAATAATTAACTAATATTAAATAAAAAATATTTTTATAAGATAAAATTAAAATCGCAAATACCTAATAAAAAATAGAAATAAAACATAGAATTCAAGAGAAGATGCTCTTTTTCGTCCAAATCCAAAAGAAAGGGCATCGTTCAAAATCCTCAATTATATTGTAAATGTATTTGTTATGTATTATTAATCAATAAACAAAAATAATTATAAGAAATTTATTGACGAAACTAATAACAAATTTTCGTAAAACTACACATATATACACGTAAAATAAACAAAGAAGAATCGGAAATAACAAAATAGATATAACCGTCATTCGAAATAAAATAGAAATAACGAATAGAATACATCGATTTAGGATAGAATGCCCATTTCGTCTTCATATCGGGACGTTATAGGTAAAAAAAGATCCATATAGTTCGGGGAACATTTAATATACTAGTCAAAATTTCAAATAAATTATCGATTAATTTCCGTAAATAACTACTTCCCATATAGGATAGACCTTCCCATGGATTAAAAAAACACCCCTAAGCAATTCAAAACCTTCCGCCTCCAACATTTATCCGCAACTACAATCTATTCTCTTTCCTATCAAATATACGGTAACTTCTAACCAACTTTTCAGGTTTTTTCCCTTTCCTTTCCCCCTAGCAATAACAATTTACATAGCTAAGCTCCTTATAATATTAATAATACATTACTAGCCGTCAATTATATCACCGCCATTTCAACACCCCGCAAAACACCTCATTTTCATTGCCAAATAGCCCGCCTCTTTTTGTCGCTCTCCCCATCCCCCTCCCCATACCGCCAGGGGGTCCTGCTTGGGATTTCATAGATATAAAACGGGGGGTTGGACGTACAGGCGGATATATTTTGGGGAGATGGACCCCTTGGGTCCATGTAATGTGGGGGGATGGGACGTGCATTTTGAACTAGTTTTAATACCAATCGGAGAGCGCTCGTATCGGGGAAACACTGCAACAAAGACAGACGAGTAATTTTATAGAGAGGTAATCGGAATGAAACTCGTAATGCGTACCGTATAACACGTAAACACGAGTCGTTTTCCGTTGTACATTTTCCGTCTTCCGTTTACTTACGATTTGCATCGATCGGCAAACACACGACTCGTAATTCCTTTCTTTCTCTCACAAGGAATTCTGTCTCATCAAGATCATCAAAATCTTCACTCTTCACTCTCTGTATGCCTCTATCACGCCCACGCCAAAGCACGATTCTCTATATTTTTCATCTTTTCTTCACGTACCGTTTCTATTAATAATGTCAGAATTTCTAGGGCACTCATAATACATAATGTCAAATCTCTATGAAATCCTATGTTCCAACGTATTGGCGACGTATATTTGCTGCCTTGACATTTTTTATTTCTTTTCCAATGGAACGGAAAAACAAGCCACCTCTATAAAATCGCACGCTTGACCCCGCTAAGGCACTCATAATACAGTGTCATGTCTCTATAAAATCCTACGTTCAAATGTACTGCCGGAACGAAAAAAAAATTCACCACTATAAAATCGCATGCTTAACCCCGCCGAATAACTTATATTCAAACAATCTACATCTATGAAATCCTGCGTTCAAATATACTAGCAATATATATTTAATTTAGGCATTCTTAATAACATACCATTATCTATTAAATTACAAAGCATTCGTCAAAACTCAAAATAGACAATTACTATAAAATAAGGGGTAAACACCCTTTCTAACGTTTATATGAAATTAATTTTTTCTATGAAATGGAGGACCACCTAATTTCATATATATAAATTCGTTTTATAAGGTGATGGACCCCTCACTTCATATTGGGGTATAAAAAAGGGGATCTCTCCCCCACCAGACTCTAGGTTCACCTTTCCGGAAGTGACCGACCACCACGCCCCCCACACCCCCTTTACTCAAATCGTTCGCTCAAGAACCTCAGGCCCAGCCTATCGACTGGCTTTCGTAATTAACTAAAATCAAATACAATCTAGATTTTACATAAATGACCTTAGAAAGGAGGGGACGAAAGCAGCCACGATAAAAATATCAATATGGATATAAAGATGAATGCCAAAGCCCTAATAAGATCCCCACCTCTTTTCCTATCACCTCCTCCCCCGCTATACCCACTTTCTACATGAACTCTCCCACCCCGTATGGGGTGCCCATTTGCGTCTGGTCAACAGGCCTCTTCACCATTAAAAAAAAGGCACCCCAAGCAACTCAAAACTTACTCGCTACATTCTGCTCCCTCCCTGTTCTCGAGCGTTTCTTGCAATCCCTCTTTTCTTGTCACGTCCTCCTCCACTATGCCTGTCTCGTCCACATAAACTCCCACCCCATATAGGGTGCCCTTTGGAGTCCGGCAACTAGACCTCTACACCGTAAAAAAGGAACACCCCCAAGCAATTCAAAGTCTTCCCGTTGCTGCATTTTGTTCTCTTTCCTGCCTTCAACGGACCACAGCATTACATGAATTCGCACCCCATCTGGGGTGCCCCTTTACGTATAGTTGAGAGGCATCTTCACCACTTCTAAGGGCACCCCCAAGCAACTCTAACGTCCTCCTACGCCATGCCTGTCTTCCACCTTCCCCACAGCATTCTGGTTCCTCACAGATCACGCAATGTCTTAAGAGGCACACACACCCTTCCCTTTCACGCTATTTCACTGGCAATGAAAGGCGCGCATCTCCCTTTTCTGGAGGTTCCCACCACTTTTCGCGCCCCGTTGTCCCCTCTTTAAGCCCTATCATTGACATGAACTCCCACCCCTAGTAATAATAACAATTTACATGGCCTCCTGAGCTCCTCATGATGCTGATGATGCACTACTGGGCCGTCAATTACATCACCGGCATCACAACACCCCCAAACACTACTAATTTGCACTACTAAGTGGCCACATCTTTTTTCCGCTCTCCCCCACCAGGCTCTGGGTTCACCTCTCCGAAATTGGCTGCCTCGCGACCCCCCCCCACACCCCCTTGTCACTTCGTTCGCTCCCCTACCTCAAGCATAGCCTATCGGCTCGCTTTCGTGATATAGTAAAAAAACTATATATAGTTTATTTTTTCAATTGATAGCAATTGAGAATATCAATTGGCATTGGGTCATATTCTTGAATTCAATTCCAAGAAAATAGGTTGAAGCTAGATCAAAGGCCTTCTCCCAAGAAAGACGCCCTATTGGCGCCGAAACGTAAAGGTAATTTGCTGAGCTGCCTCAGTTTAAGACAACTTCAGCCAGGTACAATGGAATGGCCTGGAAGTCTCGGAAGACACAGAACACCTGGCACTCATGCTTCCCACAGTTTCCCTTTTGGTAGCACATCACTTAGCACATCAAATCTTATGCACTTCAAGCGCTTTAGCGAATGTCATTGACAAGGCCTTGGGATTGGCTGCATCATCGACAGTGGAGTCGTAGCGAGTACCTAGTCACAGCAAAGAAACTTCACTTGTTTTCTTTCTTTGACACGTGCAGGCAGCAAATTAAGTCTCAATAGCGGACGGATTGGAGGGAGAAGAACACTCAAACCCTAAGTTATCTGGACGAATCTCTGTGAAGTTCAGTTGGTGCGTTCTGTCACATTCTTCCAAGACTCTCACATCATGTTTTCTGCTTGTTTACTATACCAAAAAACTGATCGACGGCTTTCGCACCAGCATCCAAAGCTGGTGGCTCTACGAGACCTTCTGCACCACGACAAAAGCGCCCAGGCAAAACTCCTCCACCAAAGACATAGCATCACAAAACTGGCCACTGTGCTTTCAGTGTTTCGTCTGAAAACCATTACACATTGCCTCCGGAATGGTATATTGGTTCTATTTGGTTCTATAAGTTTCTTTGTTGGCATGTGCCCCTTATGCCTGCAAGAAAAATAGCCCGTGGCTGGCTTCGTCCGCAGAAACGAAGTGCAAAAGTAGCATCTTCCGCAAAGTAGCTGCCTGAACGGGGAAAAGAACGCATGCCGGAGGAACATGCCGGAAGCATCCGGAAGCAATTCTATTTTCTGGTGAGTTGGACAAGCGCACCAATTTTGATTGTCACAATCCGAGTAGGCTGCGGCATGTGGTATGGTTAATGTTACCGGTGGAGCTTGTTGGCTGATGCTTAGCACGTTTGGCTTCTGCTGGGTGAGGATAGCATCTGAAGACCAGCATCTTTCACGGCCCTCCACGCATTCTCAATACAAAGCCGTTCAGCCTTTGACTGGATCTTGAACCTGCCTGAAAACGAGCACAAAGATTCAATGCATATCATAGCCAAAATTTACAAAGTCGCCAGCAAAGTAGGAACGAATATAACCCATTGTCTCTGCACTGATGTTGCGCCTGGAAAAAAGGCGCTTTTGCCCATTGTTGCGTTTCGCAAGCTTCTTGAAGCTTATGTTGTACAATCCCAAAACGTATCGCAAATCAGCCTCAAAGTTTTCAAACTTGATGATATGCTGCGTGACTAAGGGATCTGGGTCCAAATAGTCCACCTGGGGTATAAAGTGACCTCCGGCCGTTCCGCCTTTTCGCAGTCGCTGTTGCAACCAGTCGTTGAAGTCCTTTTCAGTATGAAACCGCGCCTGCATGTAATTAACCCCTTCAAAACCACAATGATATTCTGACACAAAACGCTCGACTGGATCCCGCACAACAAGGAACCAATCGTACTTGCGCCGCTTCTCAGCAGGAAAATGGCGAAACTTGTTGTGCTGATATCCGTAGAAAGGGCGGTCGTACATCCCCCAAGCAAGCTTGTCAGGACGAATCTGGTTGCCGATTTCCTCCACGGTGGTTCCGCCTGTCTTGCTGATGTGAATAAACTTCAGACCAAATGGCCCAGGATGAAGAACTCTTGAACTTGCATTGAGCAAATGTGGAGACACTGTTTGGTTCTGGTTGGAGGATTCGTGAGCAGTGACATTCTGGGAAACGTTGCTCATGTTTGGGGTAGACTTTTCCAAGAAGTTGCCTGACTGGTTTTGTTGGCTTGTGCTGAGGTTCTTGCTGTCAATCACCACAGCCCCCGGCACCAGCCCAAGCGACATAGCTGGAAGAGTGAGGGTATTTGCACTAAACATGAAGGCCAAATACATCGTGAAAATACCTGACACGTAGGCAAGCACAAACTGAAGCAGTGTACACAAGCTGCATGATGCCATGGCCAAAAGCACTGGACCGGAGACTTGAGTGAAGGGATGCGATTTCCGGTTTGAAGGACTTGGGCTGGCTTGACAAGCATTGCTACATGCTATGGCGCAAAAATATCACACATGTTCCCAAAAAAAGCACTGACTCCAAACTTCTTGTTTCTAATCCTGTGTGATGCTGCCAGCCGTCATGCTTTTGCTATCCTGGGCGGCGAGCGAGTGACCACCCCATTAAATTGGATGTAACGTGATGCAGCATGTTGCCATTTGAGACGCTTTGAGCCTACACGCGCAAAGCTTCTCCAGGCACATTAATATGCTCGGAGCACCCTTTAACAACATGGCCGCTATATGGTCCCACATGAGCCCACCTCGCCCCAGCTTGGATCCATGCCGCCCACCATATGCACGATTGAAGCCATTCTGTGCAATGTTGGCAACACAGTCCCAGGAGGTACCTGGATGAGAGCAATCCAACACTGCTCCAGGTTAGTTTAGTGGCCTTCCAGACTCTTTCAGCAGGAAAAATCCTATGATCTGTCTGCTATCACCTTCGAACATGTTAGTTTCAATGGCTTTGCCTGCAGGATCCTGCAGGGTGGTTCCAAGATTCCTCAAAACAATTGATATTCGTCACATTTCTTGTCAGTGTCTTGCCAAGACCGGAACCGGGATCATCCTTGCACATACAATCCAGGGTACGCAGAGGCGTTAGGAAAAAACAAAATCCGAATGAAACGTTTCATAGGAACCCTTTGACCAGAAGCATCCAAAGATCCGACGGACATTTAGATCGAAACCACACCTTAACCTCCCCAAACTTGCACACGCGCGCATCTGAGTGTGGCACCGTGCCACAGAAGTCTTTCAGGTCCAAGCGTTCGGCTGACGCCATTGTATGCCGCAGCAGCGGCACTACTACATTCCACACGAAGGACTTGAAGAATTCGCCACGACGGCAAAGCTCCTGTCGTCCAAGGGCATTTGCACAAGCCAAGAAACGCAAGCAAGAAAGGCATAGAAAGGCATATAACTTAGATGCAACAAAAGCAGCACACATTAAAAGGACACATATATGTGTATATATGTATAAATATATATATATATATGTGTGTGTGTTGTGATATGTTACGCATTATTATATATTTGCACATGCTTAATGGATCTTGTCCAGCAGGAAAAACTTAGTCCTCTTTATTATAATGGCCTGTCTTAAACCATTTGATAATTATGAATTATTTGAGAAATTGCTTTGAACATTGAATTACTGTATCTCCACCCGGCTACTAGGCAAGGCAAGGGACAGTTATTTGCACAATGGCACAACGTACCTTACGTCAAGCGGTTGGACCAACCATGTTAAATCCCTTGGTACTTCCCTTAGTTTGGGTGGCTCCATTTTAGAGCGATCCCAAGCTTGGCTGGCTTTACTTTCCTTGAGCTTGCCTGACCACAAGTTATATAAATTGTCTTGCCCTCGTGTTCTCTCATGTTCTCTCTATGTCTCCACCCGCGGCTTGGAGCTAGAAAGGGGCCTGAACAAAGCACGGCACCAAACGAACACCACAACACGAACAACATAACATTGGTTCATAATGTCCCGCCACGCCTGAGAGCCAATTTCTGACTGCATCAAGGTCCGAATGGCCCAGCAATTCAGGCGAGAAGGGTGAAGCGCATGGCAAGCTTGAGAGGCATCCTCTGTTGGTCAAATCACGGATTAACGATTCCACTGATTGCACTGAGGACACCGTTCTGACAGTACTGAGCACTGCATTTTGTGTGCTGGCGGTGGTTGTTGCTACAGTGGCGCTCAGGCGAGCCTGATGTGTGCCCCGTGGCGTTGCCGTGTCCACCCTGCTCTGTCCGTATGAGGGCCGCTTGCTGCGAGGCTGCATGCCTCTGTCACGTGGAGTTGCAATTTGGACAGACTTTTGGCTGTCCTCCAAAGTGGGCCCACGCACATCTGCAGCCCGTTGGTCCAAGCAAAGGTCTTGTCGCAATCGATCAGACAAACGCTCCGGTTTTGCAGCTTTTGGACAGGTTGTTGGCTTCATGTCCAACAGCTGTGCCTTGCGTCGCATGATCTCTCTGCGGTCTCTGGCCCTCTCGAGTCTCTCTCTCGACTCGGCAAATGCGTGCCGCGTTTGCCGTCCTCGCCAAAGACTTTGCACGGAGACAGCGGCATCGTACTGCACTTGATAAAACTGGCGAATGCCTCTAATCAACCGATCTCGTGCTAAACGACGGGCATGCCAGCAATTGAGTCTTGCGATTGCAAAACTCTTCCAGGCAATATGAATGTGGTGCAGCCTCTGCCTCCAAGCTCTCTGAATGACTATCGCCGAATGCATTGCAGCGCGGTGCAATCGTCGTATTTGGACCGTGCGCCAGCCACGCTGCACAATTGATACGGCATCCTCCAGCAGCAACCTGCGAATAGCCGCCTTCTTCCACAACCTCCTGAGATGCAAGCGCCGGAGCCTTCTTGCACGCGCCAATCTCCACCAGCGTTGCAAGTAAATCACGGCATCGCGTAGAGCTCGAAATCCCATAGGCCCCGAGCTGCTAAAGTTGCGAAACCACCACTTGCGAAAGGCTCGCTGAAGTCTTTCTGCTGCTGAATGCGCCATGAACTTCTGGGAAGGCGACAGTCCAGCATCCATTCGAGCCCATGAAGGCAGGCTGGTTCCAAGGCTGATGGGGACACTGGGAGTACCTGTTCGAATACGGCTTTCAGCTCCCTGAAGCTCACTTGGATAACCTCGAACACACGTGAGCTCTGAGCGACGTTTGTATCGCTCGTCAAATCCCTCGTGTTTCAGTGTCTCACGTGGACTCGGTCTCGGTGCATGTGAAGGCCGTGAAGGTGCAGTGACAGGCCTCGCCTCCGCAATGGTCTTTCGACGAGCACTCGGAGGAGGTAAGGTGGGGCGTGGCAAGCGCTCTCGAGGTGAACAAGCCCTGTCCATTGAACTTTTAAATCCTCTTTGACGTGGTGAGTATCTATTTGACCCCAGTCTTGGGCTCTCAGGACCTGACCCCAGCGGCTTGGCTTTCTCCTCGGAGTCTTTCGACTCCTTGGGCTCCTTGTGATGTCCAGTCACACTCCGGCTTTTGGGCGCCGGCGATCTTGCTCGGGCCTCTTGATGAAAGTAAGCCGCACAAGTGCGTGACAATGTGTCCTCTAAAACTCGTCCTGGCAATCGGGGCCCGACTGACTCAATCTGATCCTTCTGTGTGACAGGGCTGGACTTCCGTGCTCTGATTGGACTCTTAAACGGCTTGATTGCCTGAAAGTGGTTGGCTGCACAAGTGCGAGACTTGGTGCCCGCGAGCACTTGCCCAGGCAGGCTTCGATTTTTGAACTGTGGACCGTCTGAAGAGGTCAAACTGCTCCTCATACTGCGGCTTGGGCTGCTGGACGTTGCGACTTCCGCTTTACCGATCCGAAGATCGGATGGGCTTGGCGCGGGAGCAGGCTGAGCCCCTCGGAGGTTTGCGCTGCTCTTTAACCTCAAAGATTGAAGGTGAAGAGAATGACATGATTTCCTCCATTTTCAATGGGGATGTATTGGGTTCACAATTTTCTGGGTTCCGAATATGGATCCACTGAGTCCCATTCTCAAGACCATTGGCTGCTCCACGCCTTTTGAACTGCAGTATCCAGCCAGAGTTCTTCTTGGTTCAAATCATATAGCTAAAGCTATGCCTACACGCTGGAAACCGTATTTTGATGTAGTACAATGTAATTATTGAACGTTTCCCTCCTTTTCCGCCCACCATTTGCAGCGATGTTGCATTGGAACACATCTCGTTCTCTGTGATTTGCTTAGAGCATCGATGAGCATGTGCCGCCTTTCCTGCAACATGGGCGCTCTCGGGTAGGTAACAAGCAAAGGAATGCAACCATGCGCCTTCTCCAGCAAAGTTGCATTTTGAATTGAAGCCATTCCGCGGATCCATTCGGGTCCGTGTGCGTGTGTGAGAGGTTGTTGAACAAACTTGTGCATTGTATTCTGCATTGCGATCATTGCGGCGAACTGACTTTCTAAAGGTTGATGAGCGAAATGCTGCTGGCTTCTGACACTACTACACCTGAGATGTACAGTAATCGAAGAGCATGATCAAAGCATGGCCATGAGCAAACACATTCAAGCCAAATGGTTCAAGTACCAAGACTGCTGTCATTTTTGCTGGATTTGCCGGCGTGAGATCTGCAAGTGCACCAGTCAAACTGCTGGAAACTTTGAATGCGCGCTGTTCCAGCGCAGGGAAGCCCAGCATGTCCACTCGGTGATGCCAGCTGACTGCATTGGCTGCTGGCGATGAGAGGCCAGAGTAAGACCGGCCACTGCCTGTTGGTGGATGGGACTTTGCCCAAGACTATTGGTTGCCCTCAAGGGAGAACTCAAAGACATCTGAGAACCATTCCTAACATCATAGAGCTTGTGCCAGCAAAGTGCTTTGACATGCTTTGACACAAGGAACGTGCCAACTGCCAACAAGACGCTTGATGCACATACCTTGGTTTCAGCAAGTTGCTCATTGCAGCCAAATCTGCTTTCTTTAACACATCGGTTCAGCTACCAATATCTACCAATATTATGTGCAAAGCTAGCCTGAGATAGAGCTGCTACCACCAAATACCCTATGCAGCCGAAACCAATGCCATCGAACTCTGGCAAAGCATTGGCAGCAGTCACTTAACAGCCAAGGTTGAGCCAACAACTGGCACGAAGTTTCCTAGTTGAGACGCCTGTACATTTCCGGAGGGTTCGTTCTTTGATGTCCTTTTTGCCCGGATGTCTGCTTCCAAAGCACCGGGCGCCACCAAAAACGTAGAAGCGCCGAGTACCTGCTTTGTGCTCGGCCACCGCCATACCTCGAGAGAAGCACCCTGTTTTTTTCACCGAAGGTTTTGTTTTGCGTTTCCACTTGTTCGCCTGCCCGGCCGCAAGGAAATTGCCCTTGTATCCAGCTCGCGACGTCCTTTGAGGATGGAACGGTTCATATTGAACAAGTCTTGAACAACAAAATTGTTTTCGCATTCTCTTGCCATCAAAGCGGGGTGCAATGCTTCTGTCGCACTCATTCATTTCTTGGCACATGCCGCATGCCTCAAAAAGGTTTCGCAGTCCTGAATTTGTTCGAAGCTGCTGTCATCCATTCTCTGTGAGGCCCTCAGCAGTGGGTGTATATCTATAGATATATATACATATAGCCCAAATGAGCCAATTTGTGTTGCACAGCACGGCGCATTTGGGCACTATATATTCCTTGAGGTTCTAAGTCCCATTCATCCGGCAAGAGTTGAACTATAGAGTCATCATGGTCCCCTCAATGCCGCCATTCGTAGTTGTCAAACCATGTGATCCATGTGATTGAGTCGTACTCGATCAGCAATCGCACCATGGCCACATGTGGAAAACATTGCCGTACGCCACTTTGACCGATCCATCTCAATCCGGAGCCGCAGTTTAAGGCAAGAGGCCCGTCTGCCGCTGGCATTGGCAATTCCTCCCCGTCCTATCATGTTGGCTGTGACAGGCAGTGTGACAACCAAGTCAGCGTGATTCAATTATATACTCTATATACTTGGAGACACTTCGGGTGACCCCCACCCTTGGACATAATTTGCAAGAGGACAAAGCGACATGTATTGACTGATTATCCTGACAAATGCTGCCTGACATGTGCGTTGAACCAATATTCTGACACTTGTTCTGGCTTCAATTCTGGCATGTGTCCTGACACATCATCTAACATAAAGGCTGGAAAAGGTTCTGGAATGTGTTCTGACGTCCTTTTTGGCATGTGTTCTCTACAAAGCCTTGCCCTTGCTCCGGAACCTCCTCCCTGAACCTGCGGAACTTTGCTCCGGAACTGCTCTGGAACCTGGTTCGGAACGTGCTCCGGGACCCCTCCGATCTGCTCCAAAGTCTTTACTATGGCTGAAGACCCCTAAACTTATCTATTGGGAAACAATCTGAAGACCCTCACCTGGCAGGTGGGGAATATTCGTGGAAATCCACGTGGAGTCGACAACGTGGAGGAAACTCTTGCCGGAACTCCTGCGAGACTGGCCTTATATAACTCAATAACTCAAATTCAGCTCTTTGCGTACCTTCCGGGATCAAAATCATACCATACCTGTAACAAATCTCATCTTGCTGTTTCAGCATGTCTTTGACCTAATGTCTTGGTCGAGTGCCGACGCGGCAACAGCACGTCCCAACTGTTCCTCTTGTGAAGGTGCCCTTGGCCTTTGCCTTGAGGGCAAAACCTGGCACTTAAAAAACCATCCAGAATCCAGAGCAACAAGAGTTGGGAGCAACCTGGTCGAAGTGCGCCTGAAGCCGGCTCTCGCTGATGAGCATCACGTCGGCCCCGACCTGTCGCGGCTTCCTTTGCATTTAGGCACCGGTACTTAGATGATTTATGGTGATTTTAGACTGAACAGTATTTACATAGGTCTTGTGCTCTCGCAAGATTCAATATGATAAAAAAATCCCTACCAATTACCTAGGGGGGGGCGTCACCTAATTGTAAGTTACAATTTCCTAGGTTTGATACCTCAAAAATTGTAACTTACAATTACTAAACCACCTCACAAATTGTAACTTACAATTTTGAGGCATCAAGGTGGGTCAGACACCCCCCTAGGGGGGTTGAAAATGTAACTACACACGTCGGAGGTAGTAAGTGACATTTTTCTGTCCCCCCCTTTAATTTCATGAAGTTACATTTATGAACCCCCCCCCCCTGTGAGTGGTTTGTGGGGGGGGGTGATAAATGTAAGTACAGGCCTCGGACGTCCTAAGTTACATTTTTGAAGACCCCCCCAACAAAGCACGTCAAGGGGGGGGTGCTTACAGTTTAAAAAAACCTAAGGGGGGGGGCAGAAAATGTAAGTTACATTTTTGACGCCCCTCCAACAAGTCCCATGGGCAAGGGGGTAGGGATATAAAAAAAGATACAATAAGCCCAAGAAACACCCCCAACAGCTCAAGGCCAATTTCACAGTCTCCGGAACCTCCTCCGGAACCTGCTCTGGAACCTCCTCCAGAACCTTCTCCAGAACCCGGCTCCGGAACCTGCTCCCGGAATCTGCTCCCGGAACCTGCTCCCGGAGCCTGCTCCCGAGCCTGCTCCGGAACCTCCTCCGGAACCTTCTCCGGAACCTGCTCCGTGTCCTCCTCCGGAGCCTGCTCCGAATCTGCTCCGAAGCCTTTACTGTGGCTGAAGACCCCTATAGCTTCGCTGTTGGGGAAAAATGCAATCGAACTTTCTTGAACCGAAACTTTCTGGGCCAAACCAAGCGCTTCTCCAGCGTCATCGCTTGTACTGTCGAAGCTCGTGGATGCTCTTTATGACTCAGTGGGGTAGCCAAATGCAAACCAAACATCTGCCAAGACTGGAGGCTGCCTTGACATGCCATCCATTGTGCTGGCTGTTTGGGATCCTCACAGCTTAACACACAATTTCCGAGCGCAATCCAACATGTCAATCTAGATCCAAACTTGCTGCACATGAAGCTATGCTCTTGTTACTCATGTGCCCCAAAGTGATCCAAGCTTGGCACTTTTCAGGACCATCCACTACTGCTCCAATTACTTTCACATCAGCATCTTCACCCCTGACCTGCCGCACAAGTCACAACAGCACTGTAGCATTAGCAAGCACGAGAATTGCGAAATAAAGCACGACATTGCACCAATGACAAGCACGTAGCTCTCGACTCTCTACAAACACAATGCATGTCATCTGCCAACTGTTGCCTCTACCTGTACTCCAATTCGAAGCCGTTCACCTGGGTGCAGGATGACATGGAGGCCTAGTTAGTGCAACACGCCCATGAAACATAGCTGCCACTATACGTCCTCATGTGCTGCTCACCTACTTTCGGCCCTGTCACCGCCATCCACTTGCATCCACTGCAAACTACGGGCATTTAGCACAGCTGTATGTGGATGGCCAAGGTATCCTCAGCTCGACTGAGTTCAGCATTGGCAGCATTGACTGAGTTCAACAAAGCTGCAGTGACGCCAGGCAACTTCGTTCGCTGGCCTCGTAGCCTCCAAATATTAGGACCTCAAACGTAGGACCAACATGGGGATGTGTTCATTGCACAAAAGCACCGCTGAATGATCTTTGATGACTCGAAAGACAACAAAATCATTCAATCTCATCATATCCAATCATTCAATCCCACATGCACTTTTCAACGTAGCTAAATGTGGCTAGACTTGGGTTCAACATCACACGAACTTACAATGAGTCCAGTTGTCTTCACGCACCACAGAGTGATCTTGGGATTGTTCAGGCCAAGTCTTTCACGTCAGGACGTTTTAAGCTGGCTGCATTGAAGTGTCTCGTGACGGGGTCGACAGGACCGACGGGTGACAGCATGCGACTGCTTCTTCGTCCATTCTGCCAAAATGCAAGATTTCCACCCAGGTTGACGGCTGAATGCTGCAATCGAGGCCTGCAGCTTTTTTCTTTTATCTCTCTCTCTCTCTCTGTCTCTCTCTCTCTCTCTGCTGCCTCCAGTATCCTAAAAACTCCTAACTTTATCCAAGTAGCATGGGTTCAAGCCCAGTTGTTTGAAGGCGGCTCCACTCATGAGTATTCAAATTCAAAGAGTAAGTTGTACTGTCCTGTCAGTTCAAGTGAAACAATGCGAATCGATCGCAGCTTGGCCAAACATCTCTTGCGAGGTGTTACTTTCAACACCCTGTCCGATAGGAATCGACCACCAGTCTTCCACTGACCGCCACCAAAAAGAACTGCAAACCGGTCATCGCCTTGGATGGTTCGACCTTGCCAATTGAAACCAACGCTCTACTACAGAACCTAGTGCAGCGAAAGTTGGCACACCTCCGGTACCGAGTTGCAATTGGTCAGGCTCCTTAAAGTTCAAAGCAAACGCTTTGAATACAACATGAACATCAGAGTCGCCAAAGTTAAAGCAGCTTTCATCCCCATTCTTGTGAAGGACGCTTGTGAATCTTGTGCCCGGCTTCGATCCAAATCTTGGTGGAGGGATGCTGCCAGTGGCCGCCACTTCGTCTGTATGAATGATATCCTGCCGCAACGTGAAAGACTAAACGACCAACTGATATCACCTCTGCCGCCTCACCTACTTGTGGCAGAAACCAGTCCTGATGGGCCCGAGATCTGTCAAGCCGCCACAAGTCATTGCAGTATTTGTCCCTCAACAAGCACATGGCAAGCACAATAAATGTAGAATTGTTGATGAATGAAGAACATATCAAACCTTGATGAAACTGCTGATAATGCGCCCACCTTTGCTGATCTTTTGGCAGATTTCAGTAAATCACCCTTGAATAGTTTGCGAGGTTGCTGCCACAGCGCCCTACCAGTGGCTTTACAAGCTCTCTGCAAGCAGGGTGCTGTGAGCTGCGGCCTCCCCAGGCATAAAGGGCGCCCAAGTGCTCAAACGACGCGACGAAGTAGCGAGGAGTCGGGGAGTTGGTTGAGCCTAAGGTCACGGTAGCACCAGGGCGTAGGTTTGGCACGCTGGTTCATGCCGGTGCTGAGTGCTGACTTCTACTTTGCACAAAAGAAACTTCTAAACTACTGTCCTTAAACCATACTTTGTCATCAAGCAGCTGCAAGAGGAGGGATGCTAAACCACCTTGCTGCTTCATTTCACCCACCCAGCTCTTAGAGAGGTTCTAATCTCAGGAGCCCAAGGAGCAAATCCAACGGGTTTGCCCTTGGCCCTTGTCTGGCTCTTCTATTCTTGGCGATAACAAATGCATTCTTGATGCATCTTGGGCAACAATGACGTCTGCGCGCCCGAGCATCGGTCAGGCTTTGTGTACCATTAGCATTCATGAATTTCCATTTGGCCCTACTCAATCACGTGCAAAAAGGCACATGCAAGAAAGAGCCCACCCGAAAGAACCCGAATAAGTCACCCTCCAGAAAGCCACCTGTGCCTTTAAAATTTGGAATTCCACAATTAGCTACTGACTAAGTCTAGGAAGAAAGCAACGTCAGCCAGCAAGCAACATGACAAAACCAAAGCAAAAAAAGGAACACAACAGCAAACAATTCATAAATGAGTCTGATTTACATAACAAACACAGAACACTTGAGCCTTAAAAGTGCAACTGGAATTCTGGGTCTGAAAGCTAGCCAAGTGGTGATCCCAACTCTTGACTTAAACAACTTGAAACGGGCGGGTGGGACCTGAACGATTTGGTGTGCAGAATTCAGTGCAAGGCTTTGATGTTCTTCTATGTCAGCGAGAACTGTCATGACAAGTCAGGTGCAAAAATCCATGGGCCCTGGCCATTCCGCAAGGCTCTCCATTCCCAGGTCTCTATATCTAGAGCATAGGCCGTGTTGTAGGCCTCGTCGGAAGCTAGGACAGCACATGTTGGTGCTTGCTTGAGCTTTTGCTCTGTCGAAACCTGCCTGGCCATAGTAGCCGCCGCACCAAAAGACCCAGCGACTGCCCAGGACGGTGTGCGCGGAAGCATAGGTATGAGCAGCTGGTGGTGGCGAGCCTGGAGGAGAGTGACAAAATATTAGTGGTTTGATTGTTTTGCTATGTGTGCCCTGTGCAGCGCAGCAGTGCCAATGAAAACAATCAACATTTTTACATTTACATGACAGTTGCAATTACTACGCTCCACAATGCAGCAAAACTGGCTGTACAATAATTACTTTGAGAACCTTCGAGGTCCATTTCTCTCTGCCTCTCTTCCTTCCTCCCTCCATGACTTAGTTTGATATGGTTAATGGTGGAACAAACAAGTGCACTTGCACAAATACGCAAGTGAAAATGGAAACGCGGTGCGGCTTGGCGGCCTGTCGTGTCTTGTCGAGACCATTGCTGGGTTGCAAGGTCAAACATGTACACATTCGGCTGATGCCAAAGGACCTCCTTGATGTTCGACTGTGCATTGATCAGCTCATAGCCTGAGCACAAAACTCCAAAGTAATAGTTGCCACTGCACTCCTGAATAGCTAATTACACCGGCATAGACCCCAAATAGCAGGAGGGAAAAAACTCATAGTGCCTCAGGGCAAACACCATATGTCATCATATGTCTTATAGCCTTCGTTGCCAATGAGCGGTGCCAAGGCATTGGTCAAGTTGCCAGGGATGACATCAGGTCATGCCAGGGTGACATCTGTCAGGGCAGGGGCGATACCCACCGATGGTGCCTAACACATTGATCCATGTATTGCCTTGTGGTGTGCATTGTTTTTTCTTTGTTTATCGTGGTGACATGGTGTCATGCCATGCACGACATCATGTCACGCCAGTGATGAAATCATGTTGTGCCAGGGGTGACATCATGTGATGCCAGGGACAAGCACTGGCACCAGCAGCAGCACCAGTACAATTTTGAAACCCCCCCGCTTTCAAAGTCTCAAGAAGTAGGCCAAGACCTCTTGAGTGGGGGTAAAAAAGTAAGATCCTCATATAGGCTACCTCAACCTTAGATTCCTTAGATCTAACAATTTTCACACTCCCTATAGGGCTGTATAATGCTATCCTCGCAACATCGAACATTGTAAGTTACAAAATTGACCCCCCGGGGGGTCAGGCACTACAATGGGGTAGTGGTAAGAAAACGCAAAGCCAGCACCTGCACCAGCACGGGCAAAACGAAACGCCGCACCATTGAGAAGTACGAACTCCTATAGCTTGCAGCTATCTGGGGAAAAAATACAACAATACAATGCTGCCACGGTGGCTGTAGCAACCACCACCAACCACGCACAAGCGCCCATGTGGCAACACTGTTGCAGCTGCGCACCAAGACTAAGCTGTTCGGTTTTAGGCGATTTGAGAAAATCACGAAGTGATCTTTTGGATTCTTTTGGCACATGAAGCAATATGAAAGACTCGTGCAAGCGACATGCGTCTGCACCCTTCCGAAATACTCTAAAATTAGAGAGCATCGTTTCCATGCCTACTCTCGTAAGCTCAAACCAAAAGGTTTCTGTTGCCTTTCATCAAGTCACGGGAGGCGGTGCATCACCTGGCCCTGAGGCTTGGGGAAACTGCTGGAGCCGGAACTCTTCCAGTTGCCTTATCCATGTCTCGAGGTTGGCCGCCTAGCAACATGCAGCTTTTGCGGGCGTGCCTTTGTCAAACTGACGGTAAGTTTCATGTGGGTTTTTCATGCCTGTTGTGCTCCCCAAGATCGAGACGCCATTGTAACCCCGCTTAAAATATATTGCTCGATCATCGATAGAAAATAGGTTTCCAATCGTCGACCAGTCGTCAAACACGAAAAAAACAACCGTCGGGCACCTCACGGGTCGAGTTACAATTCAAACCTCGTATTTATATAGTTATATACTTGAATTAAATACCAATGAAACTCTGTTTTTTCATTGTGGATTGGACATTGGATACCAATACCTGATTGTCTAATATTGTCTGTAGTTTTAGCTGCTTGGTAGAATCTTTTGTGGATTCACCAGCGTCCGCTCAAGATCGGTTCACATGCACCAAGCACTTCTCAATCCAACTGCAGCCCTGAGGCTGGGGTCGCCACACTTTGTTGTCGGGTCAGCAACAGGAACTCTGATCCATCAATTCCAATTGAACACCGCTGCTACCACTTCTATTGTTTCTGGACATGTAGATTACCAGGCAAAAGAATCATGGCCTGCGGATTCACCTGTTTGACCATATTTTAACATGCAATCATTTCTACCTCGACATTTAACTTTGTGAAGCCTCCAGCCTCCTCGAGTTGAGAGTAAAGCTCTAAGGCTGGCTGGAAGCGTCGGTGCAAGCAAATCTGCAAGCAGCGGATCAGCACATCGTGGTCCTCGACTCTACTCAATCTCCGTCAATCTCACGTACTTGTGCACGGCGTCTTTATATATACAGGAATGAGATTGATTGAGGAGCCAAAGCCCATTGCTATTGTGCAAAAAGATCAAAAAGAGAGCTCTGCTACTTCCAGTTTTTGGCTGGCTGGAATTCAGGTTGGTGCTGGCAACTTCAGTGTATTCAGAGATTTGGTGCCAAGCATCCCCAAGAGGCTGAGAATCTTGTGTTCTGTGCCTAAACGGATGGCTGGGCGACAGGTGAGGGACAGCAGCTTGAGTCATCAAACAACAGGGAATGCGGTAGGAGCTCCGGTCAGCCAAGAGTCACTTGCAAAGGCTCACCTGGAGGCCACACTTCTCCAGACCTCTTGCCTAAGATTCCATTTCTTGGGGCTCTCTCGAAAGCAAAGTGGTACAAAGCATGCAAGCGGCTTTGTGGCTGTACTTGCACGCCTAGACGCAAACGTTTGCCGGTGTCAGCAGCTGGCAATGCAAGTTTCTGGCAAAAGGTAGAATCCTCACCGCAAATGAACGCACCAAGAGTGACGACAAATTTCTCTTGAGATTTGGAAGGCAAGTTTTGAAATGTGGCCAAGGCGCTCTTGGGACAAGCTTAGGCTGTACCAACTTTTGGATACCTTGGGCACACGGACATCACCTACTCAACCGTGCTCAAACAGTCTGAGCACATGACGGCCAATAAGGCTCTCAAAGATTGTGCTGGCAGGCTCTCAGCGCCACCGCAAACACAACGAAGAACGTGAAGCCTCAAACCAACAGAAAATGGATTGGTGTAAGTTATAGTCACACTCAAAGACTTCCAGCGTTCCAAGGTGTTTCGATGGCCCATTCCAACTTGCCGCCCTTTTTAAGGCAAATGAACTTGGATGAACTTGGCGTTTTACGCGCACTTTTGTTGGAACAACTGATAGGTTTCCCAACAAATTCCTAGACAAGCGCGTACACATGCGCAAGCTAAACATGAAATGGCAACACGACCAAATCAATGACATGGTGTGGCAAAACTCAAAGCGCAACACAGTGGAAGCTAATCGGACGAGAAAGCTGCAACTCAAACCAAATCAAAGAACGCTGCCCTTTGAGCCTTGTCTCGGGAAGAAGGGCATCGAGCACATCCATTGGGCCACATGCGCTGCTTGCCCAAGTTGAATCAATATAACCAAACTTTACTGATTTTACTGATCAAACCTGCCGGGATGAACTGCCAAGCCGTGCTGAACTCTCTCTTGTTGCTGTGCGTGAGGTGCAAAAACATGCAAAAACTATATCAGGTCACGACGTCCGAAATTATGCGAACGCCATTCTAGGAGGGTTAAGAAAGAGTGATACAGTAGATCTTTTCGTGCGCTTCAGGTTTCAGTTTCAGCTATATATATATATATATAAAGCGAATGAGACCCGCATGCCATCAACAAACCAATCCCCAAACATTCTTTTTCAGTGTAGTGATGGCCTTGTTTGCTGGAGGCCTAAGGGCGAAAGGATCGCGACAATCATGGCGGGGCCCTCCCATCAGCACATCGCATCAACGTTTCCTTGCGATTTGCTGACATCATTTCAGCTTCGCACTGCACGCTCAAACGAGGTTGTCGCACCATTTCGTGCCAACGCATGTTGAAGTGATGAGGTCTCTGTTGCCTTCCAGTGGCCGAACTGGATTTTAAATACGGCGCACATTGAAAAAGAATCCGACACGAGGCTGTACATGGCTGTACCATCTGCTGTACCACAGTGATTCAGCAAAAATGCCCTCGAATGCAATCCGAGAAGCCTTTTGCGAATGCTTTCTGCACTTTCAGCTGTCAGGAGTCCTACTTCATGTTTGCAGTCCCCAAAAGCACACTTTCGTTGTTCAGGCGCTGAATTTTACGAAGTGCATGCAGGCTTTGGCCCGCTTGTGCAGTGTTTTCTGTAGGATCGATTCAGACCCAGCAACAGTCTGCAAGCTGGCTCAAGTCGTCAAACTTCAATTCAATCCTGCGAGTTGTGCATTCCCCGCCACTACCAAAACACACAACAGAGCCAGTCTCCGGGTGCACGAGGGTGCACAACCTCCAGCCTCTTTAGAAAAAGCGTGCCGCGACTATCTAAGCTTGTTCCAGAACGCCTGTAGAAAAGACATAAAGCTAGACCTCAGCTGGACACCGTTGCCTTTGCAACCTGGACAGGGTCAACGAATAATACTTAGAAACGGACCTAGGACTAGTCCTGTGTCTACGACCACCATCCTTGAGTTGTGGAAAGGCAAAAGGGGCTCAACAACAATCTGATGAATGTCCAGCTGATCGAATTAAGCGTGCAGAATGTGCTCCAGGGAGAAATAGGATGAAATCGGCGGAGACTGTGCTCCAGTGTACACGAGACTTTAAACCATCTCGCGAATTGGCATGGTCATTGATTGCCAGTTGCCAGCAGATGCCATCGACATCCAGTTGCCAATGCTGATTCAGTGCACAGAAAGACCCCACAGAAAAGGATGCCAAGCATCCAAAGGTCTAAACAAATGGCTTGAATCACGGCGGAAAGGTGTCCTGCTTTGTCGGGCCACAAATCTGGGCGGTGTACAATTTGTGCTTACGCGTGCTTATTCCGGCCATGGTGCAACTGAGATGGCCGAGCAAAAGCACCTTTCCAGATTCCTGTTATGTGCACATGCCAACATGCCTGGTTGTAACGAGGCAAGTTGAGCAAGGGAAGAGGTTTGCCTTTCAGGTCTTTTTTGGCAACAACTGAAACGCAGTGGCCATGGAAGAAAACATGGCTTCACAACCAAATCTCATTCATGGACCCCTTGGCAAAATCGATTAATTCCTGCTTCTGTCGCCAGGAATGCATGGCTCAGGCGATCATCTCTAATCACCATCTGGGGAAGTGCAAATGAACGCCGCCAGAGCCTGGTCCAAATTTACCTTAACGGCCAAGTGTTCTTGCAGAAAACAACACCAAGGCACGCGGGCGCATCAACCTCGACAGGTTTGCTTGATCTTGTGAGCTAGTGTGGCCAAGCTGCCATGAGATCTATTGCTGATGAAAGGGTTCGAAACCTCAGTTTGCATTTCCACATGAAGAAGGACCCTGGACCCTGAACACTCTTTTTTTGGAGAAGGCCTTAAATACCCATGCCCCCCTCAATTCCTCAGGTTCAAACCAGTCGTGGACATCAAACTTGCCCTTCTGAATCTCGTGGCCAGCCTTTAAAGCCTTCCAAGTGCATACGTCAGAGTCAGCAAGAAAAGCTTAACAAGAAGCTATTAGGAACAAGTGCATCGCTTCTAGTAACAAGTGCCTTACTAGTAGTAACAAGAAGCTAGTAGACACAAGAAGCTAGTAATTAGAAACTGGTTTGCACGCTCGCCCGCTGGCCTCGTGCATGACTTCCAAGGGTGTGCTGCGGGCGAAGCAGCCCATCAACTCTCTCCTGAGATCTGAGAGGGTGAGTGCTGGACACGTGAAGCTAAACTGCAAACAGACTGAAGTTTAGTGGCTTGGTGTTTAGAAGGCGGGAGAATACTTTGCTCAGCCCTGCTCTTTGATGCTTTAGCACTAGTGTCACCAATAAGGCGTGGAAATGCTCGAGCACCAATCTGGAACAGCCTTTGCTTCGCTAAGCTGGTTCTAATCACTCTTAAATGATGCTTGTGACGTGCGCGTCCTCTGGCCCCTGGCCCACCCCTCGAAATCAATACCAAATCAATTCGTCGACGGGGGTACATACAGTACATTCTATCACGCAAAGGGGGGTGGGGAGGCCTTTTAAAGTGATGAACTATATAATTCGACCGTTTGCAACCTGCTGTAAACTAGAACTTGAGCAGGCAAACCTCTTTCAGAGCTTGCTTTTGTGAAAGCAACTGTGACTGTGTCCCAACACTATCTGGCAATATCATTGGTTATGCTGCACCAGAGCTTGTTCAGTTGAAGAATAGCTGATGAGCTCACTTCGCAGCGGGCAACATGCGCCGACACTTGACGCACAACGGCCGTCAATAGTAAAATGAAGAAGACCCATGGTGCTAGTGCCAGCAGCTAAGGCCGGTACTCCGACAATGTTACAGAAGCCAGCATCTTATGAAGCCTGAGGCTTCAATTTTCATGACTTTCTGAAATTATTCATTGATGCAACAATCAAACAAAGATAAACCCCAAGTATATTTGTATGTAACCAAGTGCAGGCTTGCAAGCTCCCACACTTGGTCAGGGGCGCTGCAGCTGTGCTTGCACCAGGATGCTCAGCACTGTTCGGCCCAGCCTGGCAAACATCAAAGAAGTCATGTCAAAACCTCAATCAATCAAATGATCAGAGATCCTTTAAGCTTATCTTGTAGAGATCCTCCTGCAGCAAAGTTCAACATGGATCACAGAGGCTGCTCGCCTGCTCTGTGGAAAGGACTCTGTGAAGCATTCGATCCTGGCAAGCTTGGTGGCCATTTCAATCAGACTGGGACAGTCGGATGATTCTTGGCAAAGCTTTACTGGCCTTGTGTTCGATCACTTCGTTCAACCACCTCTGCTCTCGTGCAATTCAAAGGTGAACCATGTGCAAGCCAATGTGCAAGAGCCGGGTTAACATTCACACTCTGACACCATAAAGTGCCATCGCCTCCGAGTGCGGAAAGAGCTCCTGGCCAATGTGGGATATTGAAAGGCATGGATTATCCACAAGGAGAACAAGAAACTTGAAGCTCTCCTGACCAGGTCAGGGGCATGCCTTGGCATGAATGCAATTGCAAGACTGGCTTTGAATGCCAGCAGGTAACTTGCAAATAGGGGACGGTCCCCACAGACCTGAAACCGTGTGGAACCACATGATCTGCAGCTGAAACGCTGGCCACCACAGCACACAAAGCACCGCAAGCGGCCAAGGGCTTCCTTTTCAAGTCCACATAGCACAGCAAACAGTGTGGCATTGCAAGTTCATGCAGCCTTGCAATCCGCATACTGCTTGAAAAGCAAAAGCAGCCACTCTCCTGGGTCTTCACACAGGACATCTTCTAATTTGCAAGAAGGTGCCAGCATACTTAAAAAAGGAACTGCAAGTTTGCTTTCAGGTGCGTGCCTGTTGTCTCGCGGTCATCATCGCAAGTCTTACCCTTCGCCTTGGACTCTTGCTCATGTGCGCATTTGGTGGCATGAATGTTGGTGCAAGAGGCAATGGGGTCATTGAAGTCATAGCTGGCACTCCTGCTCCACACCTGAATCATCGAATCATTATCCAACGACAAAATTATCCAACGGTTGCATTGCATGTTGTCTCGCTGTGACGTTGACACCTGCGGGCGTGCATCAACACTCCTGGCTTCCAAGGATTCTGCAAGCGCGTGAGTGCACGCCTGAAGTGAAGTTCCTACTCTTGCCCATAGGTAATGCAAAGAAATCTGAAGCAACCTTCGCACAATTCTTGGTGCTGCCAGGTTGCATCAATCAATACATCAACCCGAACATTGAACTTGTCCTCAATCCATCCACAACAAAGAATTGGTCTTTAAAAAACTCTGGTTGGCTTGATCCAGGGCGACTTGTGGTTTCACAGAACATACGACATATGTGACTCACTATCTGACCATATGTGACTCACGCACTGAGCTTCACGGCCAAAAGGGATGCTCTGCGCATCCAGCAATTCGAGTCTTCGCCGTGTACCGCAGTTGCCTCCAGGTCTCTCTCTCTCTCTCTCCGCTCAACACCGAAACGGCTGAACCGGTCTGCTGAAGCCTCTTCCTCAAAACGGCGATCAAGCCTCCAACGACAAATCAAGCGACTCAGCAAATCCTGAAGTTGACTCGTCCCAACGAGTTACTGCTAAGTTCACTGCAAAGCGCGGTCATAGCCTTGCAGCACCCGGCGAGACTGTGAACGACACGTGACACGTCGTCAACAAAGAGAGAGTGTAGCAGCTGCCCTTAGGCCCTAGACTCTAGATTTTTAAAGCATTGACTGCAATGTTTTAGGGCTTGTCGTTTTAGACCTGTTCTTGAAGTTCTGTACAATGAAACGGGGTTAGTTCAGCTTTTTCTTAAAATATAGATATGTTTTTATCTTTTCTTTAACGCATATCTCGTCTCTTTCTACCCTCTCTTACACACACACACACTCACACACACACACTCTCTCTCTCTCTCTTTATCTGTCGCTGTCAGGCCGTTGCCTGTCCATCTTGCTCAGTTTGCACAACCTTTGGTTTTCTAGCAAGACTAGCCACCATTTGGACATTTTGGACATTTGACAATGCAAGGGCTTCTTCAGGAACCCGAGTCCTTCTGCCTCCCGGCTACTGGCCAATATGCTCATTACTAGCTACCTGCATCTACCTGCATCTATTAAGTTTTCCAAAAAATCTAGGAACCAAATGATTACTGCGAATGCGTCTTCAAGGAAGCTCCCCCCGCCCTCAGGCAGGGGGAGCTTCCTTGAAGAACGGTGAGCTATCCTAGCTACTGAAGCTGGGGCTACTAATAGCTAGCGTTTGTTTCTACTAGCTACCTCTTTCTACCTCTTCATCCTCTTCTCGGATAAGAATAAAGACATTGCGCAGACTTGCACCGAGCTGCTGAGCCACAAAGGTGTTCTCCGCAACTCCTCCGCCACCGCACCAGCAGCTCCGGCATCCAGCCCAGAGAGGCGCAAAGCTCTTTCAGCTACTGGGTCACCTTTTTGTGCAACAGGTGGTGAGTGATGCAAAAAGCATCGAGTAATGTAAACACATCTATGAAGCCAACTTATCAAGTATATAACACTCAGAACGTCAGTGACATCGTTTGGTTGAAGCACTTGAATTATTTTGTGGTCCTCACGTCCGGCTCCCACATCTCCCATCAACATGTGCAACATGTCTGTGGCTTGTGAGAACAACATCCCAACGCAATACGCCAGCCTTTGAGCAAAAGGTCCAGTGCTGCACGGGCGTCGTGCATGGCTTTCGCAGCACTTTCACCTGAGGGGAAACGGTCAATCACCCCAGCCTCATGCAAACTGCTTCCATCCTGCATCTTTCTTGATTCATCTTATTTCATCTTTCTTGATTCCATTCCCCTTTTCTACTCCCTCCCTCCCTCCCCTTCCCTTCTCTGTGCAAACTCGGTAAATCTTTGAAAACTCCTTGCCTTGCGGTGTGCCCTTCAGCGCCAAAGCCAGCGCTGTGTGTCCTCGCTCCCTTTGCAGTGCATGTACCGTGGCCAAGCAACGCATTACGCAAGAAGTCGATGCCTAAAACGATGGAGGAAGCAATGGAAAGCAAGGCAAAAACCACGAAGCTGATGTCAATGTCAAGACAAGCATCGAATTTGAAGAAGGCTCACATGATGTCCAATGTCAGAATCAGGCTCACAATCAGATTTATTTAAATTGCGGTACGTTTCATACAATTCATTTGATCTCATCCAGTCAGACCAACGCAGCACCTCACGCAAGCGCTGCTTTGATGGCATGCGTGGTGTTCGACTTGGCGTCCTGCTCTTGTGGCTCCTGCCAAGGTCTGAGTCACAAACATCGAAGTCATGGAGCTTTCAGCACCATATAGCATCCTTGCCCCGAAGAATGACGGTCTTTTTGAATCTTTTTGATGCATTCTGATCATCAAGCCATTTTTTCTCTTGGCCAATCTGATTGCACCTTTTGTAGCATCCCTGTCCTGGGTGAAAGCTGCCCGCGGAGAATAGTGGGCACGTCATCAGCCCCGGTGGAGGTCGTGGAGGTACTGGTCTCCTGGACACGCTCAGCACACGGCACATAAAACATCAGCAAGGACGCTACTAGGGGCTCCTGGCCTTACTGCTGGGGCAGAAAGCTATATAGTAGAATTAATTATCTAGTTCAAGTGCTTTAATGAAATCCAATTGTATAGAATTTAGTTAGAAACACTCCAAACCTGCTTAGACCAAGCGGAAGCATCCAATTCATTCATCCAACCGGTGGCCATTTCAAGTGGCCACCAAGCCTGAGAGGATTTTGTCAGGACCTGGTTTTGGGCGGTGACCATCGAATTAATCATCCTCACAGGTCCTCCAGCACCTCCAGTTCCAGTGAGCTTGTCTTCAGCATAATTTCCGCGGCATCTGTCAACTCCTTTTCAAACTCAAGGTCTTCTTGATAGCCGGGCTCTGCATCATCGAGCATGTTCTTGTCCAGCACGACCTTGGCCAAAGGGGGCAATCAACACTGCTTGTGCAACAGGACCATGGACAAATCAACATGAACCACTCTGTGTTGACGTGAGCACGCTGCTTGGCTGCGACAGCACGGACGGACATGAATCATGACTACTAATTACCGGTACGTCAGTATCTGCCCATCCCCGTGCAAAAGATCCTCCATCTGGCAGCCACAGCTAAAGCAGCTGCACCTGTTTCTTAGGTGCTGGCCAAAGGTGAGGCTGGAGGAGAGACACGTGAGGCTGGAGCATCTCCAGTCCGCACCAGCTGTGCCAGAAGGGCAGGGCGATCATCTAAGTAGGCCTTGGAACACTCAACGTGTTTGTGATGCCGAGCAGCGGTGTTTGAACAGCGGGCAAACTTTGAATCACCTGAACATCGTCTGAATCAATGAGCGTGACATAGCATGACTATGCTCACAAACAAGTGCCTGCCATCTGTGGAGTTCCCTCCTCACTAAAACCCTGCATCGGCACGCGCTGTGCTTTCACACGGGAGAAATTCAAGTGCCATTGGGCCAAGCCTGGACAGTTCTTGTAAGCAAGTGGTTCGAACATCACCTGTCAGCATTGGTCCTAACGAGTTGAACCAGTTGGCTGGCCCTTGAACCGAGGGCCCAACGTCCCGACATGTCCCGACAGCCCAGCTCTGATTGCATGACCCAGGTGCTGCAACCTTCTGGGGCAAAAATGCACGCCAGCTTGCTGGCGAATTCCGCACCAGTGTGGATGAGTAGTGTGGTAGCTCACCGTAAATAAAGTCCACATGAACCCTTGGCCAGTGAACAAATCTGGACAAATAGGGGCCACATCGCTTATTCATGCTTATTCAATGGCACTATGTCACTATGCACTGGTTCTATGGGAATGCATCGAACTTTGCTTAAACAAGGTACAAAGTCGCAAGAAACTCTGCCTGGAGCTTTGTATTCTTAAACTTGCTCAACTCAGTGCCGCCCAGTGTCCGATGCTCTGCCACCAACGCCCGAACTTTGTCACCTAGGGAGTTCTTTGCTGATGTTCGGTGTTCCTCTCGTCCAACACGCCCCAACCAAGGGAGCCAACCCAAGAAGTAACAAAATGGGATCTTTGCAAGTGAACGGCTGTCAACTGGCGCTTTGTAGAATCGGTCGGCCTGGCTATCACATGCCTGGCGAGGGTGTGATGGTCGTGCGCCGAGCCAATCAATCTTGCACATACTACCGTGATGCTTGGATTCGCACACCTTACGTAAAACCGACCTTCTGAATCCTTCTGATGATCTTGTACACTTGATACTTGCTTTTTGTCCAGTATTCTGTGCAAGCCTTGTGCAACCTTCTCTGGACGATGAGGCCATCCAACTCGGCCAGCATCGCTTGGCCTTTCTCGTTGGAGATCCAGTCAAACCTCAGATGGATGTTGATGTGCCGATACCGTGGCACCACAGTGTCTTGCGGACTCTGAACTTTTCTCTCAAGGGCTGTTGGAGCCTGCCCTGAGGGCTCATGTGGGGCACCCTCCCATGCGTACCCTGTAGTAATCCCTGATCATTCGCGCGTAAGTCACCGGTAGTTCAACAAGCATCCTTTTAAATCCCTGGCCTTTTGCACTTTTCTAAGGACACGTAATTCCTTTGCAGACTCTTGCACAAATTGAATTGCAAACTCTTCGACATTCTGATGTTGATATTACAGCAAATACTCGACTGGACTGACTGCAAAAGGCCTTACTACCTTCTGATCCGGAACACATGGCCCCTGGTGCCCCCCTGTCAGTGTCCAGCCATGAAGCACATCGTCCCCGCAAACCCAAAGCAGCCGACTTCCTTTTGGATATTTGCTGCGCAATGCTCGAAGCATGACCGCCTTGGAATGTCGATGTTGCCCAGGGCGTCCTGCTGGCCTATCGAAAAACTGAGCCCCAGGCATTTGACTCTCCAGTCTCTTGTTCTACAGAGCTGACTCCTCAGGAGCGTCGGATCTTGTGCAGAGTTCAACAATCAAGTTCAAGCGCAGCAATGGCCGGCACAAAAGCAACCTGCACATGCTCCACCAAGTTGCCAATGTTGCTGGCGGACACGGCGAGCTTGCACATCGCAATGCGGTCTTCAAAGGGAAGAAGATCCTTCTTCACTGGGTGCTTAAAAACCGGCACCTCAGCATGTTTTGCAGCTGCAAAGGCCAAGCCGGACACCGCACTCGGGACAGTGTGCAACGATTGAAAAGAATCTGAAAGCTCAAGGCAAACGGGGCAAAAACAGCAAAGCACCGATGAACGCCGCTGCGATACTAGTATCACTTCGTCCACGGGCTTTGTTTCATGAACTGTGATGGCCTAGGCAAGCATGGCCCAATGTATGTCACGTACATTGCCACTGAAAGGACTCCATGGTGTTGACTGCCGATAAGAGCAATTTGTTGCAACTTGAAGTGAGGGGTGTGACTGAGATTTGGTCAAGCAAGGCATGGCCCAAGTGGATCGGGTTGAATGATCCACCCATGACCTCGAATGCAAAGCCGAATGGGCTTGATGCTTCAGAATGACATTTCACAAGATTTCATCATTTCACCCATGACTCCTGCTTGTCCTCTGTTTGGGTTTGATGAGTCTTGTTTGCTTCCGGGGTCCACTCTCACTGTCTTGCGGGTCGAGCTTCTCCGATGACTTTCCCTTCGAGCGGCGCCATAGGTTGAGCAACCGTAAGCTGCTGTACAAAATCTATTTGGCCTGTATGAGGTCTATAGCTGTCATGGGCCTGTGCTGCGGAATCACATATAAGCATCCTCGCTTTTCAGTCGTGCCAAGGCACTGATGTGGCTGTGAAATCAACATCTTTATACCTTTTTCAAGTTGGGTCCGCTTTGGCAGCTGACATGCCTTAATGCATGCTGCTGCGGGTGCAGGAAGAAAGTGCAACTTAGCACTTTCAATGCTATCCTAAATGCTACGCTACGCTAATGAATAATTCATTAGAAAAACCTCGCGAGCCTGCAAATCTTCATCTCCAGTTAGGAGTTGCAAAGCTTTGTCAACATTGCCAAGTGAGCATCCGGGGGTAAATGATTCCGCCAAGCCTGAGAGCGGAAAATCCACAGAAATCACACTGGAAAATGGGCAAGATCCAAGCCTTTGGACAATAGTCCTGGGCGAATTGCCGGCAAGATGTGGACATGCTGTCTGAATCGCGACTCCTTGGCAGTGCAGCCCCAAGTATAGTACAGTAACATGGCTGATCTCGTTTCAAATAGTCACTAGCCACAATACAACCCCACTACAGTAGGACATACTAGGACCTTGCAGGGCCTGCCAAACCGAGACATATATTATAGAAATTCATAAAACCTACGTAGACTTGAGCTTTTGGAACCCTTGGTGATCTCAGGAAGCTGAACCTCCTCACGCTGGTAATGCCCTTTGAAATTCTTTGGTAAGTTAACTGCAGCCATGGCACTGTTCAAAGCCCAATGACTGCCTCAAAACGAAGGTTGCTACAAGCCATTGGGTCAGAAGGCATCCATGTTTGTACTTTAACTTCAAGAATCCTAGCGCAATTGCCCACACCGCACCTTAACAACTTATCATTGTAAACTTTGAAGTGGTCAGCCAGCCAGCCCCTCTCCCTCTCCGTCTCCATCTCCGTCTCGGATGTCTCGGTCTCCAGTCTCCCTCTCTCTCTCTATCATCTCTCCAGATTTAAGTCTAGGCACAAGTATTTGCAGAGCTTTCCACAACCTCGGCAGTGCACACTCCCATCGAAGGCACAGTGAATCAAATTCAAACCCACCACTGCAGTCAATCTGGGCTTGTGGCCATCATCCATCGCCGTGAGCTCCAGAATCTCGGTGCCAAACCATCGGGCTGCAGCTGCAACGGCACCCAAGACGCACACCTCACCAAAGTTGCAGCACAACATCTGGCATTGGCCGCTCGCGGCATTCATATGCAGCAAGCAGAACTACAAGCCTGATTTACTTGCTACATGTCTCTCAGCTGCTTGTCCTGACAGGCTATGCCTGCTAGAAGGCCCTGCTGCTTGCATCGGGTCTTCGGCCTTTCCTTGTAAAACAGTCACATTGACAAAAGTTTATGGCAGTGCCAAGTCGCGGCCACTGTATTGCGCCCTAGGATGTGCAACGCAGCTTGCCACGGACAAAGCTTGTTGCCCAATCACAGAATGTAATCCAAAGCAAGTCCGATCTGCAAGTACATGGCAGAACCTTCTTCAATATACATGACTCAGGTCTATGTGCTGCTTTGATTCCACAGCTATCGCTTCTGAGGCTACCATCCAGCAGTCGACCACGCACACAAGCATGTACCGGCTTCGAGCCGCTGTTGCCAAGCCAAATCCTCAGCAAATCCAGCATTGACTAGTCAAGTCCATTTGCATGTCCACTACCCTGTCAAACGCCCATGGTACACGTGATAATACAGTAGGACCAAGCTACACTCGGATACTCTCTTGCTTTAGGCGACATACAGCTCTGCAGTACACAAGTTCGCTCATTGGGCTTCGGAGGTGCGCTGTGATGGTGGCCTGCGATGTCGATTCTGTTCACCCTCACATGGATTCTCACATGGACCTTCATCAGCGATGTTTCACCCTCACATGGATTCTCCTAGGGGCTCCTGGCCATACTACTAGCAGCAAGGACGTTACTAGTAACAAAGGGCATCGCTACTAGGAGCAAGGATGCTACTAGGGGCGCTCATTCATCTCTCCAGCCTTAGCATCCGCGTCGATCCAGGAGGTTCGGATCTGCATCTCCGCGCTGCCAGGCCATTGGACCGGCCAGTTCCACCTGAAACAGAATGCAATTCTGGATCAGACGAAGCCCAGAAGCGACATCCTGCTAAAACAAGACTGTTTGGAAACTCAGCGGTGGCGAAAACCTCTTGGACATGGCTTTGTATTCCTACAGCCCTTTCGTGAAAGCCTTCGCCGACCTTTCGCAGTAGCAGTTTTCCTTTTTTTTGGCGCGGGCCCTCTGCAACATAGCTCCTTTCCCGCATGATTTTGCAAAAAAAGTTTTGAATTATAAGGAGACGCCTGTCATAAGGCCATCATATAGACTTATTTATTTTCTCTGTGGGGACTGTGCATGGCAGGCCCCCTATGTTAAAGCTGGTTCTCCTGCAGCTGCATACTTTTAGCTTTAGATTACGGTGAATCAAATTGTGTTGAATGTGGAAGCGTGCTTGTGCTTTGCGGTGGTCTGCCACTTGTTCCAACATTCGGGAGACAGCTCGGATCATGGTTTGGCTCTACTTACGTGGACGTAGTTCAAGGGGTTAGATTTGAGCATTTTGCCATGTGCGGATTTCGCTGCGTTTGCTTGTTCTTTTGGCTCATTCTCGCTTACCTGGATTACTTCCCTTGGTTGCTTCCAGTTGCTCTTCAAGAAGCTGCCCAGCCCCCCTTACGCACGATCACCAAAACCAAGCCTAAGTTAATTCTATATTGACTCCCACTCAATGAAGTGTTCAAAGGAAAGGTCGCTAAGTATAGCATCACAGGTAGCTATTCAGCCAAGTTACATGGGAAGTCTCAATCACTGGTATGAATGAACAAACCACAAACAACAACAAACAGCTACAGTGCAGCGCTGCGGTGCAGCTGTGTGCAGCTCCAGAACTGGAGGTCTTGAACAAGATTCATCTCCGTGCATCGAGGGCACGTGTCTGGTGCTGCCATGAGGTTGATCATGGAGCTAAGGCTTGGCCTCTCTGCATCGCCTCAGTTCATCTTTGTGGTTTGAATGGTGTATCGGTGCGGAATGTGCGAACGCGTTTATAGGGCACACGCTTTGCAGGCGCCATGCATCTTTGCATCGACTTCATCTTGTTTCTGCATCAGTGATGACTTCTCATGGCTTCTTAGTCACATTAGCTGACTGCCGTCCCATCTGGACAAGGATTAGGCCTTGACTCTGATTGGGCAGTTTCCGATAAGCTGAACGACCACACCCGAAACAAAGTAGTTACTTCTTGCAGCCAGGGGGGGCCTGAGCTGAAAGAGTTGTCTAGATCATCTGTGTGCTGTCGAGTAACCCCAAAGCCAAGGCCAAGCGTTGAAGCTGTCCAACGGCAACGCACACATCCAGCTTTGGGGAGCAAAAGCTGAAACACTGCCGATGGGTGCGTCCATGCCTTGAAACCAAAGGACGTTTCTGCGGAGTGACCAAACACATCAGGGGAATTGTGTAAGGTTTGGTAGGCAGGCACGGGCTTCTCGCCAGGATCGTTCTTCTCAAGCTAGCTTAGCATTGTCCGGATGCTGTGGAACATCCTGTAAAACGCGAAAGGACCACACAGTCTGGGTTGCATGACGTCCTAGGCCATTACTTAAATAAAAACTACAAAAAAACGAAGAACCTACTAGCGATGGCCTCCAACCTAGAAGCGATGGCCTGCTTTAAAAAACACATCCTCCCCTCCCGAAGTTCAAAGCAAGCAACTCAGCTCACCGAAGACCTTACCGGCCATCTTGCTGCTAAAGCCAAGATCGGTATAGTACCTTGTTCACTCTTGTTCGATCTACATCCATCTTCTGGACGATTTTCTTTTCTGGACAGCTACCATCATCCGCAATCACTGATCATGGTGTCAACTGCCAAGTAGCTGGATCAGTTTTTTGCGAGCCCTGATCTTCTGCTCCCAGTTCAACCCGGGCCATGCCAAAAGTCTCCTGGCCACATTAGTATTCCTCCCAATCCTGATGTGCAAGCAACGAAGGCCAACTCGCACTGCAAACCAAGTTTCCCCGATTCTGGCGAGGATGCCCAGAAGAGCCTCTTCACAAACTCAACTCGAAAAATTCACCTGAAAGGGCTTTATGCTGCTGATGCCCTTTGTATATAAATGTTGGATCATTTTGACATGTTACCCAGGTTCCAACCCCACAGAATGAATGAGGATGATGAATACGAAAAGCACAAATGTAGCTATCTATGCGTGCCTGTGGAATTGTCCATGGTCTCTTGGCTTGTGGAGGGAATGGCTGCTCCTGCGCAAAAGTCAGCCCCCACCATTGTCAACTTCTCTAGGGAGAACTCTTGTGGATGCATAGGGATGCGGTGAATTTCGGTGAGCTGGTACAATGATTGACTCAACAGGTGCGAAGAAATTATTCGGAAGCATGCATCTAGTGTGTGGCCTTTAGTAGCCGCCAGGCGTCGCCAAAGCAATGTGGAGAAGACTTGGCGCGGCAAACCCTCAGCAATTGGGTGCAAGAATTTCTCCGAAAGGTGATGGTGGAGTAGTCATCCACTTATATAGCTTGATTCATATGAGTCAAGTAGTTGTCTTTTGCAACAAGCTACACAATTCTGTTTGGTGATCTGTCACAGCTCCACTTCTCAGCTCAGCAGCCAGTGGATATGGATTGCACTTCGAGCATTCTTTGGACACACCTTGGAACGAACACACATCTAACATAGCGGTGACAGCCTCGGAAGATCCAAAGCCCTGCGTCTTGCGCACTCTTGTCTCTGCCATGCGCTACAGTACGCAAATGGAAAATAGTGAGTTTTTTCCTCATGGGTTGACCATACACTTGATAGCATTACAATCTTGTGTATTGATTGGACTTGAGATTTGTGTTCAAGCCACACACGCGAGGCCATATCTTATTCTCAAGCACCTTTCAAAACATCACACCATGTCCAATTGTGTGAACATTTGCAACTATGATTGTAACTTCTAACTACTTTACAACAAAGGGAGATAACGAGTCGACAGCGCCAAGGAATTGTACATTGGTTTTCTTGTTGGCTGGCCTCGGCACACATAATAGAGTATGTCTCAGTTTTGACGAAACACCAACTCTGCAACTCCCGTGAACAAAAGTGCAAATCCAGCTGCACTACCACGAGCTTCTGCAAGCTGCGTGCCGTCTGGTGCTTCCACCCAAACCTGAGCGATGGCCTCCAACCTACTAGCGCTGGCCTCCAACCTAAGAGTGATGGCCTCCAGTAGGCAAGGTTGCCACTCTCATGCTGTGCAAATCTGAGCCAATATAGTCACCGTTACGCCAAAGTCAATCCAGCATGACTACCTCCCCCTCTTCCACTATACCCGGGAGATTATGGACACGATGTAGGCCTGTGTGACGTTGATTAAAACTGCTATGCAAATCTAACAAGCAAGAGTCCTAGACTTAAGACAGGCTCCGGCTCGTTTGTAGAACCTTGATGAATCAACAAAGTGGCTGCTGCTGCAACCATGTTTCTTTTGTTCTTGCCCGAACCCCACCACATGAGCTCAGCTGCATGGATTGCGCAACGAGGAATGGCACGGTGCCCAAATGACTCTGCCACCCTGAAGCTCAAAATCACCAAGTGCGGCTGCATGATCGTTCCGGCATGCTCATGCAGTGTTTCACATTGATGGTGCTAATTACTGCTAGTTCTTGCGGGGCCTTGATTTCTGAGCCCCGGCAGCGAGGTTCACATGCAAGGCTACGTCGAGCTCTGCACCTCAAGTACTTCGCACGTACCTATCAAACACCCCGCAAAAACACCCCAACAACTGTTCACTCATTCATCCAAATAACAATTCGAGGCACATGTATGCAAATGCTGTGGCCTTTGCGATTCCAACAAAGCAAACGGCTTGCATTTGTTTAGCTTATATCTAGCTTATCTTGCACACACACACACACTGAGACTTTGTGGAAAAGCACACAGAGTGGAAAAGCTTGAAACGATGGGGACGTCCCGAACGAGCAATGACGACACCGTCGAGTAACAAGTCAAGAAGGTAATCACGAATATCTATCTCCATCTCACTTGCGTGCATGGTTCGTCGAAATCTTGAAACATATCTGGAACATATATCATGAATCATACACATATATATATATATATATTCATATATCATAGTACGTATCTCGAAAAGGATCTAAAAGGCGGTTCTTGGCTTGGTCGCTCGCCATTTTCTGAAAAACGAGCAGAACACCGCAAGCAGGTACGCCAAAATGGTATCCGGTGTTCGGACTAGCTTCGTTGGGCGTAGCCATCCAAACACGCTACGCCGCTACGCCTTCCCGCCGTGTTATTGAACACTTTTCGTCTGTAATAGCGGTTTATGATGGTTTATGTGTATATCTGTGATATTCTCTCTCTTTCTCTCTCTCGGCAGCGTCTGGCTACAACGCTGCCGGCACCCTTCTCTGTCCTCTGTGACGCGTGACACTTGGACATCTGAGCCAAGGACTTCTCACTGGAGCTTGCCACTTGAGCATGCGGCTGGATGAGGTATCCTGCTGGAAGGGACTAACAAAACCGTGTGGTTACCCGTGCACTTCCTTGCGCCTGGGCCGATGCACAGGCCATAATGCTTCCGGCTTCAACGTCAAATTCCAAGTCAACTCTAAATCTTCTCCTTCTTTGGCTCATAAGTCTTGCATTTGAGACTCCGAAGCTTCTGAAGCCTCAATGCTGCAACAGCCTGATTACCGTTGACCCCAAGGAAGGACACTGAGTCGCTCGCCGCGATTCGCGAGCACAAGCTGCCCAAGTCTTTTCATCATTCCTCACCCAAATTGCTGTTGCAGGGCTGTGCTATTTGTGTAATTTGAGCTGTGCTGATTCGAGCTGCTCTGCACCTAACTGCAGCACTACAGATTTGTTGTCCATGCTGCCCTGAGTTGCCACACTCCCATGCCCAGGCTTCTCGTGTAGGACTTGGAGCAACGACCTCAAAAACTTCGAGTGTCACAGTGTGGTTGTTTGGCTTCAACCCTGCCTTCGCAACCCCTATCAAAGCAAAATGTTAAAGACATTCAACAGTGGCCGGGGCGGCCGAAGACTTTTCATAGTTCCTCCACAGCAGCTGAAGCGGCATGGGCTGCGCCCTAAGACAGGACCACCCACATGGGTACGTATAAAAGAGCTCTGAAGGTCTGACGTCCGAAAACCCGATGCCCTGCTAATGTCTGAAGCGTCAAATTGGTAGAAATGTGACAGCGTGCTCCAATCTTTCTTCACTACCATGAGGCAAGCATGTGTGCAAGGAGGGGAAGCATGCCTTGAATTGCGTGGTGCTTGATTCATCTTTAAACTAAATATAGGTTAAATATTATACTAGTAGCGTCCTTGTTCCTAGTAGTAAGGCCAGGAGCCCCTAGTAGCGTCCTTGCTCCTAGTAGCGATGCCCTTTGCCTAAATATAACTTAGACATGGTTAGACCCTAAAGTTTATCATTTGGGCCAGTGGCAGCGTTTGGGCTCCAAGGATCCACAATGAGTGAACTGATTATCAAACGCTCCAAGAAGCCTTTGGAGTCTGCAATGCTCATTGGAGCATCTCTGCCCATTGGCCGCTTGTCAATTTACTACTATCAGACTAAAATCTACCAATTCTGACCCTCAATTGCCATCACTCACAACTAGCCCTGCATTCACAAAATCAGCCGTTCAAGTCATTGATGTAAATCCATGGACCCAAATAAGGACTCAGCCAAGGCCAGCATCAAGCCGGTGGTGTGAGCAACTCACTCTGGATGCATTTGTTGTACATTCTGAGAGTGCAATGAGTGCAGTGCAGCATAGTGCAGCCCAAAACATCTAAAAAGCTAAAAAAAGAAGCCCACTGATTGAGATGACGACGGAACGCACAAATAACACCGGAAGCACCTTTCTCTTGCAAACATGCCAGGCCGTCTGTTCCTGTACAAGGGGTAGGCCCGGGTAGGCCCACCATGGCA